GACCTGACAATCAGCTGTAAAGATCGTCGTAAAACAAAAAATCGGTTCCCGAAGCAGTGGTTTTTCCGTATTAAAACATTGTTTTGTGATTGCAAAAGCTTCATCGTAAAGTGATTTCCTCGTCTAACAAGGTAATCGTCAAGTGGTGCACCACTATATCTGTTTGGCCAAGATATTTTTCTAGACTACAGCTCCTAGAACCCCGTACTGACCATGAAGGCATGGGGCTTCTGGGAGCTGCATTTGGGGGGGGGGGGAACTGAACATTTCTCAGGACTAGAATACACCAAGGGTTACACTGCCTCTCTCTGTCATTTGTAGCAATCCATTGTTACACAACCATACCAGCTACTGTTGCACTATTGACCAGTATTCATTATTGCTTCCTGTGATGCTCCACAAACGAACAAAAGCATTTTCCAAAAAGTGCTGAAATAAAATGTACTGCAGCATCACAAGTGTAAGGGACAATAGGCAAAACCACAAGAAAAACAAAGAAAAATAAAGACAGCAAAAACGTTGTGACACCTTAAAGACTAATTGCTATATTTTAATGTGGAGCTTTGGTGGACATGTTCACTTCCTCAGACAATATAAGGGAGCCTGACAAACAAGGCCAACAGTAGCAGTGACCAGTGGAAAGAGTGGCTCAAAGGTACCACCCATGGGAGTCTGCTGGGCTTTGACATCAGAGGATGCTTCAAGCTATTCTTTAAATAGACACTTTGCATAGTTCACTGTCCCAAACATATCAGTCACTGTGAACACAAGTGCCACCTGAACATGCTGTAAACAAATAAACAAAACACACATACCATTTTTTTAACAGCAAAATTTCTAAATATGGTAAGTTCATCATTCAGAAATTCTGCACAGAAAGGACACTGCTATTCACATACAAATCTATTTGCAACTCCATTTATTTAAAAAATAATAATACTTTCCCACTGGAATTCTAGACTCAGCATTCTACTTTTGGTGGCTGGCAAAGTGAAAGCATGCATGGTATTTTTCATACATTGTGGTTAGTCAAATTATTTGTTTTCCAAAACAAGAAAGAGGCATAGTGGAAGGTGCCTGATTCTCTGTGTCACATTGAGCCATGTTTCAAGAAACAGGTGTTCCATCTCAGAAAAGGGATGGTACACAGCAAATACATTCCATGTATAATGAGACATGGGACAGAGCAATTTTCGACATGGTGAACATCTGGGTTTTGGAATGTTGTAACCCTTAAAATTCCATAACTTATTGCTTGTTCTTATCTTAGTAAACATTGCAGGGGTATTGCCAGTTGGACGGCATATGAGCATGATTTATGTAGAAATAAACCCACTTTTGTGCACTTAAAAAAAGAGGGATATACAAGCAAGGGTATGAAATAGCTGGTCTAAAAGATGCCAGTAGTAAAATCCTACATAACGGGTGAGGGTGAGTTGGACAAATATTACAATGTCGAACTTTAGTTCTTTGAAATTTCGGAGATGTTGTGTTACATTTTTAAAGGGGAAGCATGCGGGAATTTTAAACAACTCTACATATGTTTGTGACAACTGGGATAAGACACAGGGGGTTGAGGGGAAGAAAGAGAGGTTAAGGCAAAGTGAGAAGAATGTAGACTCTCATATCAGAGTTCATCTTGTCATAACCCATATTCTGAACTGAATAGGTTAAGAAAACATACAAAAAGGAACTGTAGAGAGGCTACACTGCTCCTCAAGACACAACAAAAGAACAATTAATGAAAAAAAAATGGACCATGATTGGAAACATCCAGAGGGTACCAACTGCAGCAGTGCTATTTCAGGCACTCAGAAATCTGAACATATGAACAAGGAGAAAGTTCTAGCCCAGCTCTGGACCAGTTGCTTTTTTGCCATGAAAATGGATAATAGGAAGAGGATAGAGGCTACTACATGACAAACTTCTCCATGAAATCTGGAATCTTAAAAAATCAGGGTTCACAAATATACGGAGCCTCTTTTTGTGTAGCAGATGGTGTCCTCTTCAGTCTCTCCTCTGAGTGCAACTGTGACTTGTTAAAGGCAATTCTTCTCTGAATTGTCAAATGAATTACATGAGGACACCAATTCGAACAACTAAATAATGATCAAATAATTATTTGAAAGGCTGGTGAGGTTAAACCTGAGTGGTGTCAGCAAAAAATCTTGGCATTACGTGCTAAACAGATCCATAAAGAGACACAATGTATATGAAAAATATTATGCGCATCAGCCTGAGTACAATTATGAATCAATATCAGTCTTTAGATTGGTTTGCAGGGTATTAGTATTGAGCAGTTAATAATTAATAATTATGTGCCATCAACTTGGTTCTGACTTATGACAACCTTTGCCAAGGGTTCCTATGTACAGGATATTCAGAAATGGTTTACCATTCCTTTCTTCTGGGGCTCTGTAGCTTGCCTATGGCTACATAGGTTGGCTCTTTTCCTATGAGGCCCAATATGGAGTCAAACTCCTAACCTCTCACCCAACTCACTGAGCTATTCAGCCACTTCCCAACAGAAGGGGTGAATATTAGAAATCTAAACTATGAATTACAAACAACTCAACACTACAGACATTGTGGCACACACTTATAACACTAAGCTAATACATTTAATTTATTAAAAGAGTCTAGAAATACTGTTAAAATGCACCTGTTACCATGAAGTTTAACTTTACTCTTATGAAAGTGAAGCAGTCAAGCATTCTGAATTCCTAGTAGTTTTAGTGACAAAAGGTTAATTATGACAGTTGACTTAACTCTTCCACTGACATAAAAGTGCTTGTTTTTGGCTTGATTCCATCCTCTATCTGGTACTAAGTTCTGGGTCAGCAGCTACCTCTTTTGAGGCAACTTGACAATAAAGAGTATCTTAGTCCCGTACCTTGGAGCATGAATGGGCCACCTGGAATTCCAACCTGGCTTTCTGGAATCCCACCTCATCTCTGAGATGCCACCTCAGCTTTTTTTTTTTAATGGAAATAGTTTTTCTCTGTTCTGAACTGTTCACATGCTTCTCCCAAAGTTTAGTGACTAGAAATAAGAGCCTTGAGATAAAATATGGTAATATTTCTGAACGCAGCTTTTCTCTTTTTGGCCTCACCAGTGGAATCAGCTCCTGACAACATCTCCAAAAGTACATTCATCCTTCTGGGTGAAGGTTTCCAGCTTCCCCTTAAACTGTTCTGCCCACAAAAAACTATCTTGCGCCCTCATTTCCCCCTTGTCTCTTAGTTGTCATATCCCTTCTATCTCTGGGGAAGGGCCAAACAACATCAAATGCCATACGTAGCTCCAGAGCTTCTAGCTGCCAACCCCAAATTCAAGTGATAGAAAGGTGTTGATTAAGGCAACACTGAACAATAAATAAGTAGTATAAAGCATTGCATTAGGGAGCTGACAGATTCCACAACGACTTAGCTGTGGAAGGAAATAAAATAGTTGCTTCAATAGAGACTCACCCACTAAGAAAAAGACAACGTTAAACGTGAGATTCATTTTGCCCACATTCTTAAAAAGCAAAACTGTAATACACATCTGTGACCTAGCAACAGTATGGTTTAAAATAGTTTCCAGATCAATGATCTGTGCAATACCTTCAAAAATGGGATGACAAAAGGTCGCAGTGGGAAGTTAGTAGCTTCTTGCAGTTTGGAATGAAATTCTTCAATTGTCAAAGTAGAGTTCTGTTGAAGGGAGAGAAAAAATCTGACTCTTTAAAATGAATAATAGAAATGTTTCACAACAGATATTAAGCCTACAGTACTTTCTGCACAGAAACCTTTTTAACTGCTGTATATTAACAAAAGTTAAAGAGTATTCACAATGTATTAGTAAAACTATTTAATTCGCATAAAATAAAAAGTAGCACCTCTACTGTAAATTACTACACACACACACACACACAATACTTTTCTGATGAATATCTTTCACCACAATAGCAATGTCTGTCACTGTCTTCAGAAGGGCAGCTGTTATTTGACCACTGATGACGGGCTCCAAAGTGGTGGTCAACATTATAGCAGGCCTCAACATGCACTGATTTTTAGACTGCTACTCTACGTTGAGCTTGCTGAAGTTCAGATACTAATGTACACAACATCCTGTTTATATCATACTTTGGTCTGTACATGATTCTCGCTGGGACAGCTGTATATTCATCATAAGGTGCAGCTGCTCTCCTGAAGGCAGTTGAGAGAACTAGAACTGAACTGGAACTCATGCTTCCCTGTGTATGCTGCACGGTACAGGGGACCCTTGACTTACAGACGGTTTGACTTACAGACTTTTTGAGTTACAGACTTCTCTGGCCGCAAAATTTAGGTTTGACTTGCAGACTGAGATTTGACTTACAGATCAGAAAAAAACCAAAATGAAACAAAAATGTCCTGTTACGGGATTGATCGGTTTTCAATGCACTGTAGGTCAATGGAGACTTGACTTACAGACTTTTTGACTTGAGAACCGCCTTCCAATACGGATTAAGTTCTCAAGTCAAGACCCCACTGTACAGGCTGAGGAATATCTGCAGATTCTGTGGGCGATCTCAGTGTTTGTGTGTGTGAATGATATTAATTTGAAGCATAAACTGCTTTGAGAATAGGTTCAACAGCTAAAACATAGGACTGTTCAGAAAATTCATTTAAACCCATATCTTGCTTCCCATAAAACAGGAAACTGAGGTAGCAGCCTTCCAATTGTTATTCAATTGAATATGGAGCTACATTCCAAAAACATATTCTCTAAATGTTGATCTTTATGTAGCCCAAATCTAATCACATGGGAAGTTTCAGCAAGTCAACAAGCTTGGGGGAATATTATGGTTTTACAAAAGTATGAAGGAATTAGGAAAAACACCCTATTTAGGAAAAAAAAAACACCCTGTCAAATAAAGGCAAACTGTGCTAAGGGACCAAAGAACACAGAATTACAGGGAAGGGGGCGGAAATGTGGGGCAGGAGTAAGGAAGAGGAATAGAACAGCACATTCTGTTGGCTGGAAAGAACAGGAATATTTCACCATTTTGTTGTGTGTGGCACTTGTCATGACCACTATTCCCTAACAGATTAAAACTTTGTGAATTTGTGTCATTCCTTTTCAGAGAGAGGCATCCCAGTGAAGATCACCACATCTTATGCCAGTAAATTCATAAATGACTCAAAAATCATGTGGAGAAATACATTCTTCTGTCTGTCCTGAATTTTCAGAATGGCCCTTAGAGTCCTTGTATTATGAGAGAAAGAGAAAAAAAACCCTTCAACTCTAAATCCAAATCCTTTCCACATCTAAGAAACTCAGTGGATTGTTGTTTGGGAAATCATTAATGTTTAGTATCATTTGCCAGAGCTATCACTAACTATCCTAAACTTACTTCTCCGTGCTTCATGGAAATATACTGGGTTCTCAATGGAATAAATAAAATGTGGCTAATCAGGAATATAGGAAAGTTTCAAGTAATAGCCTAACAGAGAGAGAAAAAAAAATAAGCCACAGGCTCAGTGTTGTTTGCTTACCACAAGTCCTAGTACGAGGGTACGCACTCTTTCCCCAATCTCTGGCGAAATGTCATTGCCAAACTGCTGCAAGGTTGTAAGAAATCTCTTCAGTTTGCTAAGCTGCCTAGCTCCACAGGCTGGTGGTAATTGCTGATTTGCCAAAGATGATGAAGAGGAAGATGATGGACCATTACTAAAGCCATTAGGTGGAGAAGGAGCCCCATTCAATGCTGTTGGTGAATGGCTTGTGCCATTGGTTACTAAAAATAGGAAGAAAAGAATGCAGATGAAAAATACTCCTGTTTTATTAAAAGACTGTCATATTTTCCTGTATCAGAATATTTGTGTAGACCCCCTTATGTCCAACCATATGACAACAGAACTAGCTTTTAAAAAAATTCCAAACCTGTTTTAGAAACATCCCTCCTAGCAACCATCACATTTTGTGCCAGTAAATTCCAGAAATGAACACTTCAGTATGGGGAGAAGTACAACTTTTGTCTGTCAGAATTGATTCTTGGTTTCTTGAACATAATACAGGCCAACTGCCATAAATATCCATATATCCAATGTGGTGCAGAAGTTGCAACACTTACAGTACTCTGCACTGCCTTGAAACTCACTCCAGAAGATTTTCTTCTTCCCTAGACCCCATATTGGGACGTGGTGGCGCTGCGGGCTAAACCGCAGAAGCCTGTGCTGCAGGGTCAGAAGACCAAGCAGTCGTAAGATCGAATCCACGTGACGGAGTGAGCGCCCGTCGCTTGTCCCAGCTCCCGCCAACCTAGTGGTTCAAAAGCATGCAAATGCAAGTAGATAAATAGGGACCACCTCGGTGGGAAGGTAACAGCGTTCCGTGTCTAAGTCACACTGGCCATGTGACCACGGAAGATTGTCTTTGGACAAATGCTGGCTCTATGGCTTGGAAACGGGGATGAGCACCGCCCTCTAGAGTCGAACACAACTGGACAAAAATTGTCAAGGGGAACCTTTACCTTTACCTTAGACCCCATATTGGCTGCAATGAGTTGCAATGAGCAGCCATTCTGAAGGGAGGCCACCTGGTGCTCTGTGTATGGCACATTTGAACGGGGCCACAGACTGAATTTTTTTTCTATTCTCTTTGTCTATTTGTCTGCTTGTATTGTATCCTTGTTCTATTCTCTTTTTCTATTTGTCTGCTTGTATTGTATCCTTGTTTGACATGGGGCCCTGGAACCTGAGAAGAGCTCTTTAAAAAGCCGTGCACCGCAAAAAAGCTGAGGACAGTACGTGGCATTGTTAGTACATCAGTGAGCAAAGGCTACTTTTCACAAGACAGTCTAATCCGGGCCAAAAGCAGACAGCTGATACTAACAGTGCAGCAGCCTTACTCCACTGACAATGGGGGAAGAAAGTGGAAGAAACATAACTATGTGATGGTACCATGGTCACAATATGATTACGAGAGCTCAACTACCTTTATTAGATGTTCAGGCATCACTCAGATGCTCAGAGGATATATAATTCTATTATTTCCATGTCTCCTGTTCAAAGTGCTTAGAAATATACACAAAGCCATCTTGCCTCTCCAGCCTTGAGAACTGGAGGCCCTCCAAGCGGCATGTTTAAATGCAATCCTATTACGTTAGGGGTTGAGAGAGTTCAGCACAGAACTGGCTTCAGAATGCTAAGGAATGCCATTTTCAAGGTCCATAAGGGGACCACGTTTAACTTAGAGAGACTAATGTTGTTTTTTGCTATAAATAGCTATATAGCATGGAGCTACTTAACATAATATAAGTGGGCATAAGAAAACTCTACAATTCTCAGCAACAGCACGAACCTTGAACTCTGAAGCACAAGAGGAAGAAAGTGGTTCTTCAAAGTGCATGGAATCCACCAGTGTGAATCAGACTTTGTGCCTGAGTATTATTAGCATATTAAATACAATCACTAATTTGTCCTCTCCTTGCTTTTGCTCAACTGCTTCAACTTCCCTTTTTTAACGTAGTGGCACACATTTCTCCTCACCTTTTCAAGTCTCTGCCTGCACCCACAATACATGCCTTCCTACCAAAATAACAGATGGAACAAAAGTATAATTACACGTTGTGGGTGTGAACGAGCTGGTTCTTGGGGCTCCTTGGGTAGTGGGAGGAGGTGGCATTGTTGGGGGCGTCAGCCTGGATTGCGTCTTCACATCCACAGGTGAGTCTGGCATCGTGGAATGCTTCTCAATGCGATCTGTAACATACATGACATTTTTATTTAGTATCCTTACCGTTCTGGAAAAAAAAACACTTTTAAGGAAAAGAATGGACTACAGCAAAGAATTAACTAACTCAATACAGCACTTTTCAAGGACTCAAATATGCTGAAGTGCTTCAGGGATTAAAATAAATTAAGTCATTAACTTGATCAATTTGAGATATGTTTTTGCCATCACTGAAATTCACTGCAGATTGGACCCTTATTTACAGTTACGAGGCAGTATCTTTTGTTGTTCATTTTAACAGAGTTCAGACACAACCCTCATGTTAAGGGCCTGAGCCAGAATGACAATACTTCTCTTGGCAGTGTAAGAACCACAAGCAGAATGAACAAACATAATTCTAAGAATTCCCTCTATTGTTCATCTCTGCAGATGAATGTTAGCTACATATCAGGCTTTGTTCATCATTTCTCTTCACGCTACAGCCTTACTGCCTTTAATATGTGCATACCACATGCTTTGTGTGTGCATTCTAAGCCATCAAGTTGGATCCGATTTACAGTATAGCCACCCTAATAGGGCTTTCAAGGTAAGTGAGATTACTTTACTGATTACTTATTTCTTTATTATTTATTAGTTTTACTTCTATCCCAACTTAGATTTAAAGGATTTAGACTCACAATAAGACTAACACTTAAAAAAACTCTACTGAATGAATGCCCACAGTAAAGTAGACCAGATTGTTAAAACCTCTTCTTAACCTCTAGTCAATTGCCCAGAACTTGCCTGAATACAAAGATTTTCCACCTGCTGGAGGTAAGAGGCCAGTCTAGCATTCTTCACCAAGAAGCATTAAGGTAGGAAACCAGCCATTTCAAAAGCATTTTCTCATGTCCCCATCTTACATATCTGTGAAGGTGATGGAATGATGGAAAGGACACTGTGGGGCTTACCGGTACATTCTTGAAGGTAAGGCCCACTAAATACTGTATTTAGACTTATTTTCAAGTAAGGAGAACCCGGAATGCATACATAGGATTGTATCCAGTGGTGGCTTTTGCCTGGGCAGCAAACCTTTCCCCTCACTCTAAGTGTGGTAACTGATTATAACTGATCCCTCCCCTCTACAGCATCCACCACAATCTACCACACCTAAACAAAGACCTGCTCCTAATGAAACAGGGAGGGCAACTGCAGAGATTAGGGGGTTAGTGAATTCCCATTGATCTGATGTGCCTTTATGCAGCCACACAAATTGGTTGGATGCCTCTTCCACCATTTAGGATGGTTCCAGTTCCTTCCCCCCAGTACTTCCTGATACTACATGTTGGGAACTAACAGTCGTGCCCCGCTTAACGATTACCCCGTATAATGATGAATCCGCTTCATGAGGATGTTTTAAATGTTTTTTTCGTTTTGCGAAGATCAGTTCCCTGCTTCAGGAACTGATTCTTCGCATTACGATGATCAAAACAGCTGATCGTCGGGTTTTCAAAATGGCCACCGGGTGCTCAAAATGGCTCCCCGCTGTGTTTTTGGACAGATTCCTTGCTCCCCCTTTGGAGGATCTTCTTTGGAGGATCTTTGCTGGACTATGAGTTTTCAGCCCACTGGAATGCACTGAACGGTTTTCAATGCATCTCAATGGGCTTTTTAATTTCGCTTTACGACGTTTTCGCTCTACAGCAATTTCGCTGGAACGAATTAACGTCGACCAAAGCAAAATTAAAAACCTCATTTGAATACACACTTACAGAAGACTGTATCATTTCGTACATTGTTCACTAGGTAAGAATGTGAAACTCTCCAGTTGCAGGTAGATATAAAACAGCTGTGAAATTTTTGAAAAGACCAAAGCAAAATTAAAAGCCTCATTTGAATACACACTTACAGAAGACTGTCTCAGCTAGGCATGTGGTGAGCACCCACAAAGTATTCTGTTCTTAGTTATTTGTCATGTCTTACCCACCAATATTTCCCCTGAATCATCAAGATATTCCAGGTGCCTGCAAGAATAAGTCCCTGATCTCCTTTTTTTCTTTATCCCCTCCTGCGCCCCGCCTTTTGTTGATAGTTGTGCTTAAGAAATTGCCAATTTCTGTATAGCTTAATGGCTGTCCCAGTGAATCCATCACAAAAAGATGCTATTCTATTGAGGAATTGTAACAATCTTGAACAACCTGTTGTGACGTCTGCAATTTCTAGGTGAATCCTACACAGAGAAGATGGCATCCTGTACAGGATTTGTAACAATCCTGCAATGTCCGACATCTAATTTTCCTTTTCCAGGTGGATTTTGGTGCAGCAAAAGATGCCGTTCTGCATCAGAATGGAAATAATCATGCACAGCTTGGCATTTCTTCCAGCAAAACTGACTGTAAAATTTTAAAGAAATATCACAAGGCTTTCTGCAAGGCTTTTTTCTGGACAGGAAAAATCATGGAAATAACCCAAATGTGAAGAGAAAAAGAAGGATTCTTTTCTCAGTTTCTTTCCAACAGCGAATCGGTGAACAAGACAACCCTAATTTAAGCCAGGCCCATTCTGCAAAGTTATTACTAAAGAAAAAGCATAAAGTATTGATAGATATGTTTGGCATGAAAATCATCAGTGCATATTATAATAATAGTTATAATAATCGGGTACCATCAAGTCAATTCTGACTTCAGAGTTTTCCCAGGTAGAGAATACTTAGTAGTGGTTTACCATTTCCTTCTTCTGGGGTGGGGGGGGTGCCCTGAGACTTTGCGGCTTGCCCAAGGCTGTACTTGCAGAAGGCACACTGGGGAATCAACCCCCCCAACCTCTGGCTCCACAGCCAGATACTTAAACCTCTGTGCATATATTGCATTATATTTTTAAAAAGAAACCTGAAATTGTAACAGCTGACTCAGGTAAGTCATGTGACAGAAGTCCCTATGGCAACAATAAGACAAGTAAATTTGGGTCATTATGGAAAACAAGCTACTATTTATACCGGAACTTTAGACTATTACTCTTCTATCATAATTCTTTATTGTTTTACATTTTCCTCATTTACACCTCGTTAAAAATTTATCTCCAGTTCCTTAGTCATATCGTATCAAATTTATATATTAAAAAATCCCTATAGCACCAAATTAAAAGCTCATGTAAGGAGCCTAACTTGTCCAATAAATGGATCAAAACCTGAGAGCTTAAGTAAATACCTAAAGCCAGATCAGTTTGATTTATCATGTGATTTATTTCACGGTTCATGGGAGAAGAATAAATGGGGAAATCATAGAATAAGCTGTTTGAACTTCATGTAAAAAGCAAGCTGAAAGTCAGTACACACAAATGAGGAAGAAAATACTTTTGAACAGAATCCATAGGAAAATTTAGATGTGCAAGTCCAATAATATAAGTGGGATCCATTAAAGTAGATAATCTTCTTTGAATCTCTCATTACTAATCAAGAAAATATAAAACATAAAGATGATTACACCTCCACCTCCAAAACTTTCAGTTCAGCATGCTTTACAATCAAGCTAATTTTCTTCAACCTCTCTTTTAAAGGACAGGAATTCACAATGGAACCTACATAGCAGAAATCATAATTTTACTGCCATATCAGAGTCAGCCACACTTATCCATCTAGATCTAACAAAAGCACAGTTTATAATCGGTGGGACTACGAATTAAAGCATCAACAAATAAGGGTGAAGATGAGTGCTATAAACTGAAAGAACAAAGCGATGTTCTCTAAACAAACCATTCTGCTTATGCGGTGACCAAATATTTAAAGAGCAAGGACAAGACATTTAAAAGAGGAGAGGAAAGGAGTCTGAAAATGTTAATTATTTTTCACACTCACCTCCACCAACCTCAGCAACAGGCACATAAACAGCATTCAGCTTACAACGCAACAGAGGAAGAGAGGCATGGAAATGAATACGGGCTTCTCCTAAATAAAGGCAAATATTTCTACCATGCCAAGAAAGGAGAGAGGAGGAGATATTTGCCAGAACTGGCCAGGAGATAACATTGGCAACTGCTGGCCCATCTGTTTTTCATTCTGCTAACACTCATGCTGAAGTGTTGGAAAATGCATTGCAGGTATACAGATCTGAAAACATGTGCGAGTCTGACCGTGAATAGTACATGGAAGAGAGGAAAGAAGTCGTATTCCACTAAGCCTGTCCGATGCATGTGAAAAAGTAAGCACAGTGTAACCTCCAACTCAGCTCTTCAGAGCTTAAAAAGGAACTGCTATCACTCACTATTCCTGCTTCCTTTTTTCAGATTCTGCTATTAAATAGGATCACAACCATCACGATTTGGGGTTGAATACGAAGAAGATTGAAAGGGATCTCAGAAAATTATCAAAGCCAAGACATTTTGTTACACAGATGCTGAAGTTTCTTTATCTGATATATACATGTCTTCAATATACAGTACTTAATAGCGTTGACTACTTTGCTGCTTAATCATCATGATAATCAACAACAACATCACCACCACAACCACCATCTGAGGTTTCCGGATCCAAACGGATAAACACCTTGAACACCAGGGATAGTAGTAACAGAACAGAGAAATGTCTGGATAATATACATTCCATATCCAGGGGATGCCAGAGTTGAAGACGGAGAATGGGAAAAATAACAAAATACGGAGACCTGACAACTGAACTATCTTGCTTGTGGATGAAACGTATTTCAGTGGTCCCCATCATTATCAGAGCTTCAGGAACAATATCATGAAATTTCACACTATAAAAAGTTGCAGATTTATTTATTTATTTCTTCTATTTATATTCCGCCTATCTAGTCGATTAAGACCACTCTAGGAAATAACACCAGGGATAGTAGTAACAGAACAGAGAAATGTCTGGATAATAGACATTGCATTTCCAGGGGATGCCAGAGTTGAAGATGGAGAATTGGAAAAACTAACAAAAAACGGAGACCTGACAACTGAACTATCTTGCTTGTGGATGAAACGTATTTCAGTGGTCCCCATCATTATCAGAGCTTCAGGAACAATATCATGAAATTTCACACAGTACTGT